GATAAGGGTAAAAGTAACCTTGCTTTTTAATGCTTTTATGTTAAAACAACATGTCACAAATTTATTAATATAAGTATTAATCATGTGGGATATGCCACATTATTTGGGATGTTGATTTGGAAGGCTAAAGTGCATTGCAATTTGTTTCCTTGCTGGCTGGCTGATTAAAAAGATTAATTGTTGTTTGTTTCTATCTTTTCTTACAGATTACTTTAATTGTTAAGAATTCTTTTCGGTAAATGGAGGACCAGGAAATAAGTTTGAGTTTGTTGAAACGTTGCATCGTAACAATGATAATCAGAACGAGATAATTGGTTATGTGGTTTATTTTTACAATTTCAAGTTTAATTATAAAATTTCTAAAAAATTGTAAGAGTTGTATTTATATTTCGATCCTTACGAGCCACCTATAAATGTGGTGTTTGTAAAAGTTGCTGGACAAAATGCAAAAACAGTATTTGAAAGGAATTGTGCAGTTACTGATGGTGTTGTTTTACGACTGATAAGTCTATATTTTACATATATTTTATGCCTCATTTACTTATTTATTTGTTGATTTCCTTAGATTAAATTGGTTGTTTTAACTCGTTTTGTGATATTTTTACATATATTTTATGCCTCATTTACTTATTTATTTGTTGATTTCCTTAGATTAAATTGGTTGTTTTAACTCGTTTTGTGATATTTTTACATATATTTTATGCCTCATTTACTTATTTATTTGTTGATTTCCTTAGATTAAATTGGTTGTTTTAACTCGTTTTGTGATATTTGTGAAGGAATTGTGGAAATAGGAGAATGTGTGCTAAAAAGGACAAGAAGATGAAGATTTCATGCAAATCAAGTAAAGAAGCCAAATCATTCCTTTCATCATTAGGAGTATTGTCAAATTTCCTAGCTCAAGATGATTCAAGTCATACCAAGTCAACAAAGAGAAATCAAGAAGACCCTAGATTAGTAGGAATCTTATTTTTATAATAATTGTAATTATACCTTAGATAGGTAGGATTTCTAGGAGTATTATAAATAAAGAGTTTTGGTCATTGAGAGAACCCTACCATCAAATTCCTACACACTCATACTCATAGCCGAAACACCCTAAGGAGAATACGAAGAGAGCTTGCGCAACCTTGGCATTCAATGATTGCTTAGAACACAATCTTAAATAGTGGACAAATATGGTGAATAATGGTTAGTATGATGAGCTTAAACTACCTATCAAGATTGGCGATGATCGTCTTAATTACTTTTGGCGTGATTCTATAAGGTAGTTGGTTAGATTTTGTCTTTGTTGTTAAAATTAGTTATAATTTAGTTTAGTTTTAAATTTAAGGGAGATTCACTATTATACCAAATATAGGAGCCCAAATTACAAATTAAAAAATTTTAAAAAATATACATGAAATGGACTTTAGAAACACACCCAAAACCCATTTACAATGTAACAAAAAGGCTTTTAACTTCTTTCAAAATACAAAATTGTCATTGATTTCTTAAAACAAACCCAACTCCAAAACCTCATAAAAAAAACCCAAAACATTCAATATGGCATCAAAGTAATTTAATAATTAAAATTAAATTTATTAGGGCCAGCTGTCATTTTTTGGGTTTGTTTATAGAAATTAAATGGGGTAGGATTTATCTATATTATTAGTGCTAAGAATAGGTATATTTAGTTATCTATATTATTAGTGCTAAGAATAGGTATATAACTAAATATCTCTAAATGTAATTGTATTTGATATAAATTCTTCCTATGAATTGTTTGGAGGGGTTTGATTTGTTGTGTACGTCACATCCATTCTAATTTCTAAGGACTTAGATTTTCTGTGGTTTAGATGGTTAAGGGCTCAAGACCTGAAGCCCCTATACTATCCTTCACCGTCCACTATGCCATGTGTGAAATAAGTCCAAGCTCCAAAGTCAAATGCACATTAAATTTGATAGAAGGGGAATCTCTTACTCAGTCAAGAAGGAACTGCTTTGGATTCCATCCCTCTGTAAGAAGGCAACCGCTCCAAAGCTCCAAATTAATAAGTCAATGCCAAGCCCAACTTGTTCGTCAAATTCCAAAATCCTTGGCATTTGTGAATCTGAATTCCACAAAACGTTACACTCAAAACTTGAAACACACTACCTGCCAACCACTACCCTCCAAGTCTTTTGATCTATTCAACTTTAATTCCCCTGCATCTTCAAGCCGCAGTGAAAGGGTGAGACTCGGCGGATTCACATAGTTTCAAGCTCCAAAACCATGCCTTTCGGGGCTGCAGAAGGCCACACACCTCCCCTTTTTCATCAATACTATTTATAAGTAACAGCCAAAACACAAGAAAAGCAAAAGCTTGGAACTTTTGTTTGTATGCATGTATCTTCTGTAAGGCACCAGTCGGTCTTACCCAATATCCAAAACCAGTTACAAGTTTCTTGTTCCTGCTTTTTTTTTTCAAGCTCTTTTCTTGTTTCCGATCAAAGGGTAGAAAAAAATGGAAGTGGAGAGCAGTGTGATGGGAACCCAGTCTCCAAAATTTGCTCTGCCTGTGGATTCTGATCACAAGGCCACCGAGTTCAGATTGTTTTCCATAGCCAAACCCCACATGCGAGCGTTTCACTTGTCCTGGTTTTCCTTCTTCCTCTGCTTTGTCTCCAGCTTCGCCGCGCCGCCTCTCATTCCTGTCATACGTGACAACCTCAATCTAACGGCTACCGACATCGGTAATGCCGGGATAGCTTCAGTTTCTGGTGCAGTGTTTGCAAGAATAGCCATGGGAACTGCCTGTGACTTATTTGGACCGCGGCTTGCCTCTGCCTCGCTCATCCTCCTCACTGCACCAGCAGTCTTTTTCACTTCCATGGCCTCATCTCCAATCTCTTTCCTCCTCGTGCGTTTCTTCACAGGCTTCTCTTTGGCCACTTTCGTCTCGACCCAATTCTGGATGAGCTCCATGTTCTCTCCTCCAGTCGTTGGCACAGCCAATGGAGTTGCAGGCGGGTGGGGAAACTTGGGTGGTGGAGCAACGCAGCTGATCATGCCCCTTGTTTTTGACGTCATCAAGAACATTGGCGCTGCCAAGTTCACAGCTTGGAGGATCGCCTTCTTCATCCCTGCCCTGTTTCAGACGCTTTCAGCATTTCTTATTCTGATATTTGGTGAGGACATGCCAGACGGGAACTTCCTTGGCCTGCAGAAATCTGGGGAGAAGCCAAAAGACAAATTCTCAAGCGTCTTCTACCATGGGGTTACAAATTACAGAGGGTGGATTTTGGCGTTGACTTATGGATATTGCTTTGGGGTTGAGCTGGCTGTGGACAACATAATAGCAGAGTACTTTTATGACAGATTCAATCTGAATCTCCACACTGCAGGGATCATAGCAGCAACTTTTGGTTTGGCAAATATTGTTTCTAGGCCTGGAGGAGGGATTCTGTCAGATGTAGTGGCAAAGAGGTTTGGGATGAGGGGCAGGTTGTGGACTTTGTGGATTGTACAAACCTTTGGAGGTGTCCTCTGTGTTATTCTTGGGCAGGTGAATTCTTTGACTGCATCCATTGCTGTGATGATTTTGTTCTCCTTCTTTGTCCAAGGTGCTTGTGGGCTTACATTTGGGGTGGTTCCTTTTGTCTCGAGAAGGTAAGTTTTTTTCACAAATATTTATTCCATAATTTAAGTTTTTCAATTTCCCTAGTTTTTTTTTTTCCATGAGAAAGATTTGCTAACTAAAAGCAAGTCAAGCAATATTAATTATCTAGCAGAGAACAGCTAATTGATCACAGAAAGTTAGAAACATCGATCGAAGTGTTAGTTTTCATGAAAGAAATTTAAGTTGATCCCTCTACCTCTACGGTCAGAGTAGAGAAATGAAAGCTTTGACACGTTGCCTTGTTTAGTAGCTACATTATTGTGTAATTTTGTGACACAATTTCCATACTTTTTGTTTTTTCAGGTCATTAGGGGTCATATCTGGTATGACAGGAGGAGGTGGAAATGTGGGTGCGGTTCTGACCCAACTGATATTCTTCAAAGGATCAAAATATTCAAAAGAAACAGGCATAACTCTAATGGGGATCATGATCATCTGCTGTACCCTCCCAATGACTTTGATTTACTTCCCACAATGGGGTGGCATGTTCTGTGGTCCATCTGAAAAGAAGGCCACAGAAGAAGACTACTACATGTCTGAGTGGAGTTCGAAGGAGAAGGACAAAGGGTTTCACCAGGCAAGTGTCAAATTTGCCGAGAACAGCAGAAGTGAAAGAGGAAAACCCGACTCTGTAACCAGGCCTTCTGATGACACTTCACCACCACATGTGTGAAGCTTCAAACAAAAAAGCTCAGAAATCTCTGCATGTTTATAGCTTTTACAGTTGATCAAGTACTGTTTTAGTTTAAGCAAAATGAAAAGTTTCCTTTAGGTGTCAATATTTGTTAAAGCAAGAAAGTTTATGTGGTCAATTGTGTCAAACATTTGTTTCAAATGGGTGATTTTTTTTATTGCCTAACAGAGCCAAAGCAATTTAAGTCCAATAAGGAGGTAGAATTATGCGGAAAGGCTATAATGAGGGCTTAAAATGAGGAGGTTATTTGAGGAGGTCAAATCTCACCATCAACAAATGTAAAGAAATCATGGGACTTAAATATTTTAAATGTTTTGACGATCGGATCGGTCTCCTCAAATAACCTCCTCACTTTAACTCCTCATTGTAGAAACTCCCAGAATTATGCAGCAAACAACTTGATGATGATTTGGAATTGAACAACGAATTTGGCATGAAATTTACCCACCTCTCTAGACTCTACTCATCAAAAGCCTTGACCATCGTCCTCCTAATGTAAGCCTAGAAAACACAAGAGACTAGATTCCCAAATGTTTGACAGTTTTTGGGCATATACGACCAAAAAAACCAAAAAGTTTTGCGGCATATTATGGACCTTTCCGCTGTTTGTTTGGGCTATGGGTATTCTTGATAAGAATCAGCAATGCCTTGCTAGGCCCAGCTAGTTTTGCTTCTACATTAACCCATCAAACTCTTCTTATTAATCAAAAGTTTTGCGGCATATTTGATAACCTCACTTGTTTTCTTCATCTCTTATATGTATTACAAATTATTTTAGGCTAATCCATGAATAATCACAGCGGCGTCTTCAGGGAATGAATGTTGCTATATGCAAAGCATTGCTGGCAATGTGTTTGATGAGTTCATTCTGCTTGGCAATGGGGAATGGCTTCCCCATTTCCTCAAACGAGTCTTTGCATGCTTCGGCGAAGCTCATAACCGCAGAGAGTTTGACGTTGAAGCTGCCTATGTCATGACTCTTGAGACTTCGCAGGCTCTCCTTGAGGCTGTAAAGGGCTTCGTCATACACGTACGTGCAAGTTGGAGAGTCCTTGTGGGGAAGCCTAGCAGCCGAACTCTTTGCTTGCTTTGTCTCTGAAATCAATCGGTTGACAGTTGCCTCCGCGGCGACATATGGGCTTTTCTCTCTTCCCACAACCGAGTGGCAGAGGGCTGCGTAGTTAGCTCCGGCACATAGATCCATGCCCTGTCCATGAGCTTGGCCTGAGAGGAAGGCAAGAAAGAGCAGCGACAAAGAGATGAGCTGCTTGTTGACAGTGACACCCATTGTAATAAAAAATTGTACTTTAAACCAATGAAACAATTGGATTTTCATTCATTTAACACATACAATATTGTGTAATATTAAATATTAAATCACATTCAAAGCTACTACGATTCAAATAAATAATTTCATAGCATCATACGACAAGCCACAATATTTTTTCAAGATGAAGTGAAGCCATCTCTTTGATTTCGTCAAACGTTTTTCGCATTGGTTCAACCATATATAAGCTGCCACATGCAGCCCACATGGTAATAAATTGTTGCCCACTTCGTCTTCTTTTCCTTTTCTACAATTTCCATTTTCAGTCACCATCTTACATGTTTTCCCATATTTTCCAAGGAAATGGGAACAGAATGTTGTGATTCTTGACTTATAGTTGAGGACATGTTTGGTGACTGAGATTGGATTGGATTATGAGGTAGAATTGGATTGCATTGGATTACATTGGATTGGAAATAATAACACTAATCCAATGATGTGTTTGATACCACACAAGGGCGGAACTAAGACTTTTTCAACGGGTGGGCTAGCTAAAGTTTTTAGCTTAAAATTTAATGATTATTTTTTTGGTACTTAAAGTTTCTATAGTCTTTCTAGCAATAAAAGTAAATATTAAATCATATAAACCACGCTAGTTCATAGCTCCATAAACTAATTTTCAATAAGCTTTAACATAAATCAAATAGGGTTTAACACCATAGTGGCTCTGTACTTGTTTATGTTCCTCTTATCAATAAAATACTATTTCTCTTTATCAAAAACAAAAACATATTAAATACATCTGAAAAACACATATGATCAAAATGAAAATATGTTCAATAACATAACTGAAAGTGAAACTATTTTAATGTGTATTTTTATTGCTGCCCTCCAACTAAATTTATAAAAAGAATTGGATTTTTTTGGGCTTAATAAGTTAATATATACTGGGCTCATTGGCGGACCCATGAATTTTTTAGCAGATGTGCAATTTTGAAAGGCTAAAAACTCTTTGTGGGTTGAAAATCTGAGATTTTTTTATACCTAAATTGACCTTAGGTCCCTTCATGCATTCATATCATACATGAAAAATTGTTTTATGTAAAAATATTGACTAAGTATGAAAAATGGTTTTTTGGAATAATCATTTTCTCAAGATAATTTTTGGCGGCTTTTATTCTTTATACATCAAACAAGAAAACTTGATTTTATGGAATTTTATTATGAAGTATATTGACTTAATGATCCATCATTTTTACCCTAAATCGTATTTTACACTAAAGCCGATTTTTCGTATTTTGATTTGATGGGAATTTGATTTTCAAATATTTTTTATTTGAATCAAAATGGGGGGTACTTCCTTATTTACATTGTAAACTTAAGTAAATGGAGTAATACAAAAATAAATGAATGTAAAATGACAAAGACCTTTACTTAAATATTGAAAATGGAAATAAGGTAATATATACACTTGGAGTACACCACCACCAGCTGAGCAAATAGGCAATTTGAAGCACCTACAATGGTTTTTTCGGTGATGAGATGTTCAGCTACACCTCCTTGCGCCTTAATAAGTCCGGCACTAACTGGGCTAATATTAAGAATAAGTTAAATATATAGGTTATATATTTTTTTTCCTTCAAAAACCACACTGGGCTACAGCCCATTGTAGCCCATAGTGTGGTTCCGCCCATGATACCACATATGATTATGGGGTTGAATTAATGGAAATGTGCTATTACATGGCTTAGTAGGATTAGACATACTCCAATCCAACTTAATCCCAACATTTTGGTAGGTATAATCATACTACATTTGGCTTGTAGTAGGATTAGACATAATCCAATCAATGTTGTTTTTAGGCCATCAAACATTTGACGAGGATTATAAATCCCATCCAACTACATAATCCAATTCATCAAACGGACCTTATTATTTGGTATGGCCTTCCGGTTTTATACAACTGCAAGCCCATCATTGATCCACGTCATTCTTTGCCAAATGGTCATCGGCCAAACAATAAAATTCCAGACTTTATAGTCGAGAAGAGGAAAGTTTCCCATCAAAATCACAACTCTTCTTGGCAAATATGGAAAAACATGTAACATGGCGAGGAGAGACTCAAGGACGTGATCACTAAGCAGGCTGCATCATATCATGAGTAGCTAGCTATATATGCTTGAATCAATGTCAAAGATTTTTGAGGAAACTAGTGGATCGGTTCACACTTTTTCTCATATCATGAGTAGGTGCATGATGAAAATTGAAACCCAAGGAAGCAGACTTTTTTAGCAAGAGATCTTTCTGATCCGTTGTGATTTTGAGCTCTTCTAAGAGAAACTTAACTGTTGCATATCTCTACAAGTTACCAAAATCTTTGTCAGCTAATAAACAATGACTTTCCGATTGAAAATAAAAGAGTTTGTCCAATATAGATCCCTACATTTTCTATTTCCTAAACATATACTCATCACTCTATAAATCTATGTGTAAAACCCAATTTCAAATTTAAATGGCCAGTAAGATATAAGAGGTCTTAGTATTTTTATGTTTTTACATCATTGCCACTAAACTTCATATTTTATTTATAATTTATTTCAAGCATTTCATTAACTGTCATCATTGTAATTAATATACTCCCTATTAATAGCATATCAATCACCCATTTCTTTTAGTTGTCATTCCCTCTCACATCTCGCCCCCTAAAATTGCAAACAAAAAAAAAAATCTGTAAATTACATATCCAATAATGTACCTATGAAAAATATAATATAAATATATACATATAAAATGTAAATTATTTTACAATATACCTGTAAATGTGTATAGGTACATTATTTGGAATAGATAATTATGTACACTTTTCATACTAGGTAAATTATGTTTTTCATAAAACAAACAAGTAATAGGTACATTATTTTTTCAACATAATTAGTATGTACAGTTTTATTCATAAACAATTGTAAAGTGGATTATTAGTCATGTATAATTCATAAAAATAAAATAGCATAAACATTTTATTAAACAAACCGATTACCTAAATTTGAATTTATGGTTAAATTTTTTAAAAAATGTTTCAAAATTAATTCCTACATCCATTACAACCATTTGGAGATCTTTCTAAATTCAACATATATCATTATATACAATCCAATTAAAAACTGTTTCCATATTGATTCATACATTAACATACAAAATGCAATAATGGCTTAGTTGGGGGTATTTTTGGAATCTGAAAAGTACAATAAATCAGATTTTATGCTTAATTAGGTAACTTGCTGAGTTGGATCCTAGTCATGGGTTTTTACTTATACAAATTGGGTATTATTTATAGGAACAAAAAGTAAAGGGTTTTAGATACGGCAAATTGAATTTGAATGGTGTAAGCCAAATTTACTAAAAATAAAATAAAATTTGAGAAAGATGTAGGCTAAGAGAGGAGATGAACAAGTGAGTCTGTAAACAAATACTATATTTGATGAATGATCAAGAGACAGAAAGTAAAGACATCGTCTTTATTATCTGTGCAAAGTTTTTTAGGCCATGCGCGTGCATTGAGGCCTAAAGGCTGCGTTGGACGGTGCCAGCACCCACCTCCTCTTCCACTATCAAAACCTAAGTCACCCACTCAAACGGGTCTGGTTCTGGTTTCTCGTTCTAAAGTGGACACAACACAAATTTGAATAAACAATTCAAGCTTGGAAGCTTTTAGGCCCTTTTACTCAGAACAAAGAAACTATTTTATTTTTTCTTTCATACAAAGTACGAACTGAATTACACTACAATACCACAGCAAGCATAAATATTTTTAAATATCTTTTTATACCATCCATCACCTTCAAACAGAATTGAAAATATTTTTGTAGAAGGGAAGCTCAAAGAAGCCACTAAATCAAATAAATCTTTCTAACACATCTTCTCAAGCGACCTTGCTATATGCTTGACTTGACCCCCATCCCTTCTCAAGCAGTAGTCTATGACTGAAGGAAGCAAGGGAGCTTTAGACTTCCCATAAGAGTTTCGACACAAATCGGATCGAAGTGATCTCGGGTCCCCGGTTGTAGGTTTAAGCTGGATATCAATAAGATCCACATCTGTGCATGGAGTGTCATTGCTACAAGCTAGACGAATTGGCTCCTTTGAATAATTCCCAATTATATTATCGTATTTAACACCTGAGATTGCCACAGCTCCTCTAGTTTGGTTCTGGCACAAATGCTTCTTCATGTTGTCACAATAGTTTTGGTCTATCACTATAGGAACCCCCACATTGGAAACCTGGATGTTGGAGAATGATACATTCTTCACGGACCCTTTTCCTCCCTGCCAAATTTAGGATTTATTAACATGTGGATTTAATTAGTAAGTACATAATTAATTATTAACTTTATTTATACGTACCGGCCAAGTCTTGATCCTAACTCCTGATTGAGTATTCTGAAATAAAATGTTGTTCACGATGATGTTTGAGACACAAGCTAGACTTTCGGCTTTTCCGAGTCCTCCTAGACTGTAATACGAGAAAGAAAGAAAGGAATAAAACAAAATTATGCATAGTTGATTTATAAAAATAAAATAAAAAAAACTCATGTTTTCTATTGAAATTTAAACTAAGATCTAACAAGGGTCAATGTACATTGTATATGTATGTGGCATACCTTATGCCATGGCCAGGGCCACATTTAATATGATGAATATGAACGTTAGAGCATCCTGTTTGTATGGATACACAGTCATCTCCTGTATAAAGAGAGAAACCACAAATGTTAGGATTTAATATAATAACAATAATAATGTGGAGCTCCAATATCAGGCATACAGAAGTCAAGTTGGCAAGTTGCACATTGTTTTTCTTGTGCACTGCAAATCCCTGCTTGCTTCAAAAGTTATAATTGAGTGACAGTTTACCGTTTAAAAAGGTTTATGAGGCACCAGTTTATAAATTATTTTCTTCCTCGTACCAGTGAGCTAACTATCTTTTCCAGTACAATTCCAAGTGCGCAATGCACCATCTAGGCACTGGGCACTGACTACTTTTTTTTAGCACACATTTTCCTTTTTTATTTTTATTTTTCAATTATTTATAATTAAAAAAAAGGATATTAATTATGGCTTGATTATTCTTACTTACCACAGCCAATAGTAGAATGGTGAATTTCCACGTTTTGTGTGTTCTGCAAGTGAATGCCGTCTGTATTTGGGCTATAATCTGGTGAAGTGATGGTAATGTTGTTCACTTTGATCCATGAAGAGCTGTCAAATTTTAAGTGGCACTGAGGGCTGTTTATGATTTTGATGTTTCGAACTGTGACATCTGAGCTACAATAGAATCTCAAAGCCTGCATGTAAAAATAAGAAAAGAGAGAGAGCCTTTAAAACCATGTTGCATTGCATCTGATTTTTTTATTTCTTTTCAAACAGTTTATAATGAGAAGGAAGAAAAGGCTCGAAAGAGATATAATTACAGTGGGTTTCGTATCTGAAGTGTGCTCGGACCTCTTATGCGCAGATGAATTCCACCAGTCAGAGCCCTGGCCATCAACAATGCCAGTGCCCTGGATGGTGAAGTTACGAGCGTATTTGAAGTTTATCCATTGGAACAAACTGGATTCTGGCCAGGTACTTGCTTTTGAAGGAGCCAAGAGAGTTCCATCTATCTGTTGGAATTCCAAAATCACATTAATATTATTAGTTAGCTTTGCATGTTATTAAAGCATGGTTAAGTGCAAGAAGCATATGCACTTCTTACACTTCTTCATTTCTTTAGTTCCTAATGCAGCATGAAATATATAGTTATTGAAATCTGATGAAGTGATAAATTAAAAAAAGAGAGAACAAAATAAACCTGAAGAACAAGGTCAGGCATACAACCGCTGCCATCAAGAGTTATAGGCTGGATGAGGAACTTGAATCCTGAAGGGATTTCCACAGTTGCCCCTTTAACCCTGCAGGCCGCTTCCCATGCTGCTACAAGTGCCTGATGGATTGGGATGCTCAATAAAATTAGAACATATGTTATTTCATTCTATCTTATTCTCCAGCGCACACATAATTAATGCAAGCACACAAGAACATATATATGCACTTCCCAATGTTGTTTTACCTTCGAATCATCGGAGACTCCATCACCCTTGGCACCAAATGACAAGATGGGGAAAACGGTAGACTGTTGGGGTTGAGGAGGGGCTGGAGCAGGGCCAGGCAAATGTGAATTATGAGTGTTATTGCCACTGGTGGCACCCTTTCCTTGATGATGTTTATGTGGTTTGCTCTTCTTGGTATGATTTTTTCTTGCCTCAACTGAAGCTATAAGAAATGACAGAAACGCAATAAAAAACAAGAAAAGTAGAGAAGATAAATTTTTGCTCCTCTTCATCTGTGTTTTAGGCTTCTATGTATGCTTAGAGCAGAGAGATATTGTCTCTAAGTTTCAGGAAGCACTCTGCTTGCAGCAGGGAGGGTAAGGTAGTTATAGGCAGTTTATAAACTTTATACAAGGGTCTTTTACGAAAGCACCCTTGCTTGGATTCTAATATTCATGAACACCCTTCATTTCTAGCCAGCTAGCTTTTAAATTTAATTATGAGTTCTATGCCTCTTCTACTGCACTAGGTGCCCTTTCTTTTTTCTTTTTTTTTTGTTACAATATTTTATGATAGAATTTGGATTAATAATTATCTTTAAATGATCTCTGAGTCATCTACAAGTATGCAGCTTAAATATTCTGCCATTTAAAATCTGTCTATCTTCAAGCAAAACTAGTGCAAAATGATGAGCCATTTAACAACTATGTCCTGAAGAAACTATATGTGTTTCAGCTGCTTGATTTACTATGATTCAAAATTAATTATCCATCTGTGAATCTGTGATCCATTATATATATTCCTACAAGCTTGAGCAAATTTAGCTGCCTTCCAAGTTATTACCCTTGATCTTTTTGCTATAACTAATCATGCAATTTCAGTTTCCATTAATCCTAGGTGATATATTCTCTCTTGTGTACTTATGTCCGATAAATTTTTGTATGTTTCGAATACACCAACTGGTTGGTGTACCATCCAATCCAATACACATGGGACATGTGTAAATATTTTATTTTTATGCCCTATATGTATTGGACAATATTTCCACATGTCCCATGTGTACTGGAGTGTAAATCAACTGATGTACCTGAAACATACAAAAATTACTCCGTCATCCTACGTGTGTCTTATAATTGGAAATTGCAGCTTCTTAATATAAGGACAAATCCATCATTTAGTTGAGTGGAAGTTAGATGAGGAAAGTAGTATATATATATATATATTTTCAGATAGGAACTTGGATAACATTATTAAGCCTTAATTAATATTGTATTAATTTAACTAGTTCATAAGAAGGTGCTGAAACCTTAAAGGTATGAATGAAAATGAATGATCTGGATTCCTCCATCTGATAAATGGGGTTGTCATCGATTTAAAAACACAATTTTATTCTCGTTGGACTCTGGCATGCAGTATATTATGAATAACCTGCAGCACCTAAACTTTCAGAATATTATATCAGATTTCCAAAATAGAACTCAAAGTAAAAAGGTTGGTGGTCCAAGGTTTTTGTTGTTGTTGAAGTAATATAAATAACATGGAGCACAGAGAGAATGTTCATCAAACCAAAGCAAAGCAGATTGCAGAACAACAAAGATGGCAAAAAGGAGAGTTTGATTGAGAAAGTGGTGGATTCTTATCATCTTTTTGTTTTTGGCATGCATAAAACAAATAAAAGGGGTGGCAGGTTTTCTAGTTACAAGTTGGAGAATATGGAGGCCCCATTCGCCATTACAATTCTGGTGCCTTTAGTTTAAGAGAAGATGGCTCGCACGTTCATGTATAAAAAGGGAAAGAACTGAAAAAGGCTGTGTGGTATATAAGCAGAAAATGTTAGGACCTTTTCTGAAGCTCTACTCTTTGTCTCTGTCTTCTTCTCGCACGCCGTGGGCCACACGTGGGACCGGTCGGTGCCATTAATTTGTGCAGCTCCTGTCACTATTGCGGCCGGTTTTTCTGCTTTCCCCCCCACCTCCCTCCCCTCTCTCTTAAACACAAAATATTAAGGGGTATGTTATCTAACTCTCTCTTTTAATCTTCTTATTGGATGGACTTTTCCCTTCTCCTCATGTCATTTTCATCATCGTCTTACACTTAAAACAAATTCATAGGCCATAGTTGCACAAATATTAAGAAGAATGATACATGTTATGAGGAAAAAAGAATATTCAAATCAGAATGTTGCTAGCAGCATTCTTCAAACATTATGAGTAGTTAAGAATTATGATTGTGACATTGTTGTTGTGTTAGTCGTAATTCACCATTGATTTTTTTTTTTATCTGCGTTAATCAACTTTGTAATCCATCCGTGGATTAAAGGACATTCTTCATTGTTTTGGTTTTGTGTACTAATTTGCAAGTCAAGTACAAATCTTCGGTTAATCTATTTTGTGTTGATATTGTGTTTATGCGTAAAAGAAACTAGGTTGTTTTAGGATATAATTCATTAATATATTTTCCATATAAGTCATAAATCCTAAATCACTTAAGTAATAATGCTCAAGCGTTAAAGTTAATAAAGTTAATACGATGTTAATCACTCGTTTAGACTCACTCCATAATATGATTTCATAATTCAAAAAGTAAGCGGGGGCTCAGATCATGGAATAGAATTACATTATGGAGTGTGCCAAAACATGTGATTAACGACGTATTAAGTTACTAATTGATCAGAAATTAAAGTGCAAGATTGACAGCAAAACATTTGTCATTGTTAATTGACACCGCAAAGAGAAATACAAGCCCTTCTTTCGTTTGGGCCTGAAAAAACAAATACGAAGCTTGAGCCATATTGATGACTATGGAAACACTCATTTTAGATTGGGCCTCGGATCTTTATCCATTAGCCATTTGATATCCGGTTCCGGTAATGCTCGGAAACGACATGTCGCATACGCCTCTTACTACGTCGAGAGGTCGCATCAACCTACCACCCATTGAGTCATTGATTGTCAAATTGTCAATGCCGAAAGCTAGCTCTTTTGTCTTTTATCTGAGGTTCAGAAAAATGGAAAGCTCCTCATTTCGTAGTTATTCGTTGTTGTTCCGTACGCGGTTGGATCTCCCGTCTCCGTCTTCTAACAGCAGCAATTGATGGTTGACTTTGACTTTCGCAGAAAACGCGCAGTAGTGATATACCATTAGCTAGCTGTCATTTACACCCAACAAGCTCCTATAACCAGACACCACGTCACCACCTGGCTCCACACATCCACGGTCAATCCACCATCACCAACTGGTCATTCTATCACTCTCCATCACATTCCTTCTTCTCGTGGATGGTGGATACTACTGTTGGTTATTCAATTCCGACCGCTCCCATAATAGATTTTGAATGATTTTCGCAACTTTGCACCAAACTTCAACATGTCCAAGAACTGTGTGCTGCTTTTGCTCCTTCCTCTGTTTTTTCTTGTAAAGATTGCTCATTCTGACCCAAGAGCCACAGAGGCAGCCCTGATGTGCACCAACGAGACTGCTTTGATGGCAGAGAGGCAAACCTTCATAGCCAACTTCTTGGCAACCATGGACGCAGTGACTCCTCAGATTGCTGTCCAAAGATACGCAGCTGTTGTCAATGGAACCGGGAACAACACCGTCTACGCTTTCGGCGAGTGCATGAAGGACCTCTCAAAACAAGACTGCGATGTCTGCTTTGCTCAGTGCAAGACCCAGATTTTGAGGTGCCTCCCATTTCAGAAAGCAACTCGTGGGGGCCGGCTTTTCTTCGATGGGTGCTATTTGAGGTACGATGACTTCAATTTCTTCAACCAAAGCTTGAGCGCCCAAGACACCTCTGTTTGCGGGGCCACAGGTTTTGGTGGGAACCAGAGTGTTTTCAAGGACAATGCTTTGAGGTTGGTGAGGAACTTGAGTTTCGTGGCGCCGAAGAATGATGGGTTTTCTGTTGGGTTTGTGGGTCAGGGGAATGAGACGGTTTATGGGTTGGCTCAGTGTTGGGAGTTTGTGAATGGGTCTGCTTGTGAAGAGTGTTTGGCTGACACAGTTGTCAGAATTGGGTCGTGCCCACCAAAAGCAGAAGGGAGGGTCTTGAATGCTGGTTGCTACTTGAGGTATTCGACTCAGAAGTTTTATAGTAACAATACAAGCACCGATGCTGCAAGAAATGGAGGTTAGTTTGGTTTTCTTGGCTTTCTTGGCTTTTACTTTTTGTCTGTGTTATTTTGATACAAAGAACTGGAATTGGATTGATTTCGACAGTAAATCGATTTCGAAGTTTCATGTATTGAATTGTAAAGACTTTTGAAATTTGGTTTTCTGTTGTGAACGCTCCAACTCTGTTCCTGAGTAATAATGTTCATTGTTGGCATGCAAATGTTTGTTAGGACACCGCGGCTTGGCCATAATTTTGGCTGTAACATCTGCTGTTTTTGCTGTTGTGCTGAGTATTTTTTCAGTTGCTTTATTTACAAGGAAGAAAATACTGAAGAGGAGGAAAGGTACCTAGGTTTGGCTTGAAGTTCTAATAGATTCCATCTTTAAGCACTGAATTCATTTTTGTTTTCTAATTTTAATGCCACATTTGCTTCAGAGAAAAAGCAATTAGGTCCTCTGTTGGCCACTGTGAATAAGTCCCAACTCAATTTTTCATATGAAGATCTTGAAAGGGCCACCAATTACTTTCATGATTCTAACAAGCTTGGACAAGGAGGGTCTGGTTCCGTTTACAAGGTAGTTTCATGGATTTTCTTTCTGTAGGAGGGATTTGGATATAAGTAATGTGGAATGGATTCAATTGACTTCGTGAATTTCTTTATGAACAACACAGGGAGTTTTGCCAGATGGGAAGGTTGTTGCCATAAAGAGGCTGTTCTTCAATACAAGGCAATGGGTGGATCATTTCTTCAATGAAGTCAATTTGATTAGTGGGATCCATCATAAAAATCTTGTAAAGCTATTGGGGTGCAGCATTACAGGCCCTGAAAGCCTTCTTGTTTATGAGTATGTCCCAAATCAAAGCCTTCATGATTATTTTACTGGTAATTTTCTCTTCTCTGTCCTGTTTTGGGGAAGACAATTGGTCCTTCTCAGTCCATTTACTTGTTCTTGCTATTCATCCCTTGAATGATTTTCAGTGAAAAATAATGTCGACCCGCTGAGGTGGGAGTTGAGGTATAAAATCATATTGGGCACAGCTGAGGGTTTGGCCTATCTTCATGAAGAATCAAAAGTGAGGATTATTCATAGGGATATAAAACTGAGCAACATTCTGTTGGATGAGAACTTCATGCCGAAGATTGCTGATTTTGGACTTGCTAGATTATTTCCTGAAGATAAAACTCACATCAGCACTGCCATTGCTGGCACATTGTAAGTTGAGCACCTGTTTTTTTTTTCCTTTGCTGCTTCATAGATGTGCTTATAGTTTCTAACGTAGAGCATTTAAAATTTGCTTCTCTAGAGGCTATATGGCTCCAGAGTATGTCGTTCGTGGCAAGTTGACGGAGAAGGCAGACGTTTACAGTTTTGGAGTTCTTGTCATCGAAGTCGTATGTGGAAAGAGGAACAACTGCTACATTCCAAATTCAGTTTCAATTCTACACATGGTAAATGAATATATTTTGCATATGTTCTCTTGTCATCGACTTACAGTTTATGAAACTTAAGCAAATATTAACCTATTTCTTATGTTTTCGTATCATAAAAGGCTTGGGACCTTTATGGAACGGGTAGGCTATGCAGTGTTGTTGATCCACTCCTAGAGGGTAAGTTTGATGAAGAAGAGGCATCTAGATTACTTCAAATTGGGCTACTTTGTGTACAGGCCTCTGCAGAGCTGCGTCCAGCAATGTCATTAGTTGTGAAAATGCTGATCGAAAATCCCAAGATTCCTCAACCAACACAGCCACCATTTCTCAATTCTGGCAGTGCAGAATTCGGCAGACAAATTCCCTCAGGGACTTTCAATACTCTGCCCGACTCTAACAACACACACTCTTCAAGGAATAGCATGACTCAAAGCTGGATTGAGCCCAGATGAACTTTTTCCACACACAGCATTAGTGTTCATCCTAAGCTCACAAGACCCAGTTCACCAAACCAGCATTTCAGAATTTCATCTCCAACTTCCAGGACTTGTATTTCTCCTATTTGTTTTCTTCAAGGAGAAATTATACAATGGTACCGTATCACCACGTCAGCTGGTGATCCTTCCATTCAAAATATACCACATATTTTCATTTTTAAATAATTAAAACTTTTTTTTTTTTACAGCTGGACTTTAAATATGGTTTTATCTTTAAAATAAAATTGAGAAAATAAGACTATCCAAAAGACAGAACCACCGCCCACCCCACCCCAACCTCCTCCCTTGACAAGGAAGAAGAGACAACAGAAAAGAGGGAAACAATAGACCACATCAACAATCGAAACTGAGAAAGCAATAGACAACGGTCAATCTGGACAAGCCAACAAAGAGGCCCACAACAGCTTACTGTACCAGACACAAAACGGATAAAACACTCGGCATGACGCAATTTGAATTTTTTGTACAACAATTATTCCCATAATTAAATCTTTATGCCTCATGAATCAACCAAAGAATCTACGGTTTCAAATTTTGATGTCGCGGTAAGGATTATGAAGGCATATGTTTTCATCAATCACAAAGGTGTGCCATGAATCTCTTGAGTGGCGTGCGATATTTATGAAAGGCTGGTGGGATTGTGAGCAACAGAGGCACTCGTTCATCATGAGGCAGTGCGAGGCAACCAGGTGGTGAGGTGGGTTTAAGTGATGGATACTCCTGGCATACTTAGAATATATGATATTGGTTTTGTTTTCTGCTCCCATGGTTTAAGAGATCTTGCAGATTTTTATGGAGAGAGAGGGAGGGGGCGGCAAGCAGTGGGAGTGGGGAAATTGGGTTGGGCTGTGGTGGGAGGGAGGTGGTTATGGCGTCTTTTGGATTTTGTCTTTCTAAAATGTTATTCTAAATGTAAATAATGAATTTTAAATACAGCTTCTAAAGAAAATCAAATTTATTTTAAAAAGATTGACACATGACGTATTTTGAGTGGAAGAATTATCAGCTGACGTGGTGATACGGTATTATTCTATAATTTTTCTCCCAAGAGAGATGATGAGCAAGTTATAATGAGACGTGATTTAATTTCCTGTTTTATTTGTATTTATTTAATAGATTTGCTGTATATATTCCTTGTCTCTCAAGGACTTGATTCTTGCCTAGAATAAGAAATCCTTTGTGTAGACACCAAGCAAAGCATTGTATATAATTATCACATGATTGTTCAATGAAAATCATTGAGAATATTCAAAACCTTACATGGTATCAGAGCTTGAGACTCACAGTCCTCGATCCTCAATCTTCTTGTTCCCTCTTTTTTTTCCAGCACCCATGGCTTCTTCCTCTATTGATTTTCCTAGCATTCAAGTGATGTAGGAGCTGAAACAGTCAAATTGCAATCAAATTTTGTGTACCTTGTATATGTACAACATCGGTAGAGCAGAATGTCCTATATATGTAAAATGTGTACTACCATGCAGGCAGAAGTTACCAAAGTAATCCTCTATTTTTCTTCTTATATATTTATATAGTTCTTCTCCAATGCGGATGTCCGGACGTTATTACTATGTGGATGTCATTGTAAACAGGGAGGAAAGCAAAAAGGGATAGTAAAAAATACATGGTGTCCACAAAATAATAAAGCCGGACGTCCGCATTTGAGAAAATCTATATATATATAATTGGCTTGATCAATATTTTCAAATGACGGTGATAATTTTAATGAAACAACCGTCCTAAAGTCAAAATAAAGAAAAGTAACCTAAAGAAAAATAGATGCCAGCTTTGGTTTAAATATAGGCACATGGAGAAGCAGCAGCAGCTCTACCGTTTTCAAGCAACGCGTTGCACTTTTTATTTGTAAAACACAATTTGGTGTAAAATGTCATTTGTCTGATATACAAAGACAATCTGGCAAATTTTCTCTGCAAAAGACTCCTTCGAACATACATATTTTCAGGGTTGATCACGTAAACAAAAGAAGAACATTTTAAATGTGCAGTTGCTATTTTTTTTTTTTTCTTTTAAAATAACAATTGTAACAACAACCACAACACTAACAATCACAACAAATATTCTTCCCCACTTGGACATTGTTTATCACTTATAAAACTGAGAGTGTATGTTATTGAATGGTTATCTGTTGAATGTTATTCTAGCAACTGGTTGTTTGCAATGGCCAAGGGTCAAAAACAGAACACAAAACACAAAAATCTTTGAATATTTATTCTAGAGTGTACCGCCAGTACCTACCTACCTACAAACCATTTTGTAAATTTTCAAAGATAAGAAGCCTCAAACAGGAAATTCCCACTGGAATTCTGGAGCATTCAACTCCTAATAGTCAAAGGCAACCAAGCGTTACAAGAGAGAGAGAGAGAAAGAGAGAGAGAGAGAGAGAGAGAGAGAGAGAGAGATAGCTACGTCGTTTATGTACTGTTGGATGGATTTTCAGTCCAAGACCGCGTCGTTTCCACTTTGTCCCCTCCTCAGTCTTTAGTCTTTGCTTCTCAGGTTTCAATTCAACTTGAACAAATTTAGACGAAAATCTTTCATCTCTCTAGACTCTACTTGCTGTCCCTCACTCTTGACTTGTGATATAAATTGCCCTTCTATCTGTTTCGCTTAGCTTCATCTCTCCCGGAACTCCAAGTTTCAGCTCACCGATCCAATGCAACAGCAAAAGGTATGTACGCATATATGCATGTGTTGTTTTTGGAAATCCATTTTCATGGATTCAAAGCTATCATTTTTTTCGCCTTTCAATGGAGTGATACGAAATCCTTGATTCTTTGGTATATTTCTGTTTGTAATTATACTTTACTTACGATATAGTTCATGCATTTGTGCTGGTCTCAGTTTAGTTGAATCCCAGTTCCAATGTCTTCAATAACATAGTTTTTTGTTTACTTTATATTAATTAGACATTCAATTTAAGGATATATATATACATATAGTTCATATATAGTTTGTGCTGGTCTCTGTTTTTCTCTTCTTCTCTTTTCTTTTGTGCCATAATAACCGATGCTGCTTAACATCTTGCCCTTCTGTTCAGTCACCTGAGACCGGTATAGAAAGTCAGCAGTTTAGACGTTGACCGTTAGCTGTTGATGGCAACGGTGTGCTGGCTGGCGGTCATGGTGGGGATGGGTAGGGTCTCATCTTGTTGGACATTTATTTGTGTAGGTTAGCTGAGCTCAGAGAGCTGTGGTGTTCTCAAGCATCACGTTCCTTCTATAATTTAATACCGACATTAGAATCGTCATCTTCACCTTCATCCAAAATTCTGGGACCCAACTTGAAATTCTTGTGGGATCCCTTGTTGTTCTTGTTATAACGATGATTTATTTCAATTTTCATCTAAAAGCCAATTAAAGGGGCTGATAGAAACGTTTCTCGTTCCAGAATTGGCTGTGAAAGTGTGAACCCAGAGAAAAACTTTGGGGCTGCAACAATTTTATGGTGACAGATCCAATCCAAGAGACCTGCCCCTTTGACTTAAGATGTCACAGCAAAATGAACCAACCACCTGCTCAAAACTTTAAAGACGGTGCCTAAATAAATATGAATGCTATCTATGTCCTTTCACTTTCACACCCTGATCATGATGATTTTGGACCAACCCTTCTTTCCTCCTGGACTAACCACCCATCTCAATGAGAAAGATGCTTCTTTGATCAAAATATAGATTGAATTTCAAAGATTATTGGATAAAAGGCATTTGTTGGAGTTGGACAAAGCATATTTCACTGAAATATTTCAATTGCTGTTTTGATTGATCTACTGGGGCTCTGTTGTAATGCCATCTGTCACTGCTATATCTCTAATTCCATTTTGCCCAATTGTCAAACAGCTTCATATAAAGTGGATGGAGGTAGCCGCCCATTAACTCAAAGTTTACATTTCATCTCAAAAATGAAGAAATGCAGCATCTCAGTCATTTCCCAACATCTTCTTCTCCTGAAGATCCTGCTGCTACTAGGAATGGCTCTAGGAGATCCAAGAACCCAGACGGTCCAAATCACGTGCAGCAAGCAACGGGAGCACAACTCAACCGTGTTTGTTCCAAACTTTGTGCGCGCAATGGAAAACATCAGTGAACAAATGCGAACTTCTGGTTTTGGAGTGGCAAGGACTGGTTCAGGCCCTGACACCAACTATGGCCTAGCTCAATGCTATGGTGATCTTTCTCTTCTAGACTGTGTGCTATGCTATGCTGAGGCACGTACGGTGCTTCCCCAATGCTTTCCTTACACTGGGGGTCGGATTTACCTAGACGGTTGCTTCATGAGGTCCGAAAACTACACGTTTTATGAGGAGTTTAGAGGATCAGACGACAGGGCAGTGTGCGGGAACACAACGAGGAAGAGTACGGCGTTTGAAGAATCAGCAAGGCAGGCTGTGCAGCGTGCAGTTGAATCTGCTCCAAGCAATGGAGGGTATGCAAGGGGTGAGGTGAGTGTTAGTGGGATGGCGAACGAATCGGCTTATGTGTTGGCTGATTGCTGGAGAACTTTGGATGAGAACTCTTGCAGGCAATGTCTGGAAAATGCATCTGTATCAATGTTGGGATGCTTGCCTTGGTCTGAGGGGAGAGCATTATACACAGGGTGCTTCATGAGGTACTCAGATAGAGATTTTCTCAACAAGGAAGTGGGGAATGGAAGTTCTAGAGGTAAAAAGGGATGCTGCCCTTTTTTCTTGACCTGTTATAGCGAAAAGTTTGGCTTGATCATGATCAATTTTACATTGATGACTTTTGCAGGTACCATAATTGTGATAGTAGTCTCAGTTATCAGCTCCTTGGTGGTTTTGGTAGTTGGAGTAGCTATTGGATTTTATATCTGGAAGCACAGATATATACAAAAGAAACGCAGAGGTAAAAAAAAGGGCTTTGTTTCATATAAGTTATTGCTTCCAGAAAGTAAATTTATTGGACATGAAGGTCAACCCCCGGCTCTATTCTCTCACGAGCATTGGTAATTATGCAGGATCAAATGATGCAGAAAAGTGGGCAAAAACCCTCAATGACAGCAGCTTAAACTTCAAGTACTCAACAATTGAAAAGGCCACGGGATCTTTCGACATTGCCAACAAGCTTGGACAAGGAGGTTTTGGAACAGTTTATAAGGTACCTTATCTCCCTTTCTTTAATCCTATATCTTTCAATGCCTCTCTCTCTCTCACTGGAACAGGACATATCTAGGATTATCAAACACATGGTCAGAAACTAAGTGGTTTTCTACTTGCAGGGAGTTCTGGCTGATGGGAGAGAGATTGCAGTGAAGAGGCTTTTCTTTAACAACAGACACAGAGCAGCAGATTTCTATAATGAAATCAACATTATAAGCAGCGTGGAACATAAAAACTTGGTCAGGCTGTTGGGTTGTAGTTGCGCAGGACCCGAAAGCCTTCTCGTCTATGAATACCTGCCCAACAGGAGTCTTGACCGCTTCATCTTCGGTAATTTCATAACTTTATGTTATTTAAACCAGTCTTAATGACGTGATAGTTCATGCAATGCATGTTAATGTTTTCAACAAATTTGAACAGATCAAGAAAGAGGTAAAACACTAAACTGGGACAAGAGATATGAGATCATTGTTGGGACAGCAGAAGGCTTAGTCCACCTTCACGACAACTCGAAAACAAGGATCATTCACAGAGACATAAAAGCTAGCAACATCCTTTTGGATTCAAGGCTTCGAGCTAAGATTGCAGATTTCGGGTTGGCTAGGTCTTTCGAGGAAGATAAGAGCCACATCAGCACAGCCATTGCAGGAACATTGTAAGCATGCTGCATATATACACAATACATACAAACTCATTTTGGAATTGTCTTGGTGAACACAAACGTATCACACCATGAAAAACGTTTAGCTTACTGGTTTTTGTAATTAATCGCAGGGGATACATGGCTCCAGAGTACCTAGCTCATGGCCAGCTGACAGAGAAGGTAGATGTCTACAGTTTTGGAGTGCTTATATTGGAGATAGTCACTGGAAGGCAGAACAACAGGAGCAAATCTGCAGAGTACTCAGACAGCATAGTCACAATTGTAAAGTTCCCAATAAATTCTTCAATTTTTATTTTTTTTCCAATCATAAAACAATTTGGATTTTATCCTCGTACTTACTTTGTCACTCCTGTGTTTATTTGGCTAAACAGACTTGGAAGCACTTTCAAGCAGGGACTACAGAGGAACTATACGACTCAAATTTAATGCTGCAGAATTGCAATGACGATGTTAAGGATGGGATACTGAGAGTGGTGCAAATAGGACTTCTATGCACCCAGGAGAGTCCCTCTTTACGACCCACAATGTCAAAGGCACTGCAGATGCTAACAAAGAAGGAGAAGCACCTTCCTGCACCCGCCAATCCACCTTTTATAGATGAAAAGACCATGGAACTGAATGACACCGGCGACGACCCGGGTTACCCTCTAAATGCAGATGGTGCTTCTTCAGTTGCTAATGTTTCACATAGTTCTTTCTATCCCAGGTGACCACATGAGATGGAAAAGAAAGGATTCTCAAAATTCCAGAGCCGCACTTCATTTTTCCAGTGAAAGAGCCCAGGAATCTCAAGTAACAACTTGGCCCTGCGCAGCTCAATAGGAAAACACATCTAATGACGGCATATTTTGAGCCACTGTGATAAAGTGCAAAGTGGCATTCGAGGATTTGTAGATATACTGAGAATGGTTGAGCCAGACTTTTAAATAAAGAATTTTTTTTTCTCATTTTTCTGAGCCATACAGTATATGGTCAATATTATCATTCTCACTTGTTAGAAGTAAAATTGATCATTGGTAATGCTCTTAAAGATTGTTATTCACAGCAATGAGAAAATAATTGAAAGGAAATGTTCAAGTCCAACATCATTCTTCTCTACCAAAGGCACATGTTTCATGTTCAACAAAACACAATTTGAAAGATAACACAGAAGATTTAACGGGTGGCTACTAAGTTCCCCATGAGGCTTCCACCAATCTCATAATATCTGGCATTGGAAAAACCTACATCTAAAGCCAGCTCTTCCATCTCCTTACCTGAATTCATAGAGAACTTTTAATCAACAAACTAGTACCTTTTCTTATCCATCTTATTAAGCCAATGCACAAAGGCTTCCAAATTTTGCCAAGGCATTCAAATTCACTACATTTGAAGATGGAATATATAAACGCAGTAGTACAAAGAGAGCTTTAAACTATCAAAACAACTTCAGTGCAGGTGCCTTAAAACTAATAGGTAACCAAAATAAAGAGCAAAAAGCATGATGCTATGTTGATCAAGATGAAAGCACCTGTCAGAAATTCCCGGATTGAACTCTTTAAGTATTTGTAATCCTCTGCAAGGCCAAAACCAGAAGCCACAGGTACAACAACATTGTCAATCATCAATTCCTAGCAAAGGTTGAAACATCCAGCACTCTCAGTTTGTCATGTTGCTAACAATACAAAAACATTGACCAAATTATCAAAAACTCAAAATTTCTGGCTATGAATACCTGAGTAAAGGCAATAACTGGATTGGTGCTTTTATTAAAGTCAAGGATAGATACTCTTGAGCCTGTAAACACCAGCAATAATGAGAAACAGTAAACCACAACCAACAACTACAATGCGAGAGAGAGAGAGAGTGGAACCTGCTTTTGAAACTCTATACATTTCCTGCATGGCCTTATGTTTGTCTACTACATTTCTCAGACCATAACCCATAGTGATGGCATCAAAGTGACCATCAGAAAATGGCAAATCAATTGCATCACCTTCAACCCACCTAAGATGCAATGCATAACATGATTGATTATCCTGAATTAAAGTTCAAAACTTTTTTAGTTGATTGACCACTAGATTTACCAGTGCTCACTCAATGTTCGTGTAGAAGGCTTTTGACATCAACTTTTGCCGCGAAGAAGCAACTGATAACTGCTCTTTCGAGAAATCGAGACCAATCACCTACCAGCGTTCAAATTACAATCCCAGTCTTAAAAATCAGTTCAGATTCATGGAAAAGCACCAAAATTTCAACAAACCAAACTTTGGTAACATCAATTGTATGACAAACAACAATGAACAAACCTTGCCACTGGACCCAACTTTCTCAGACAAGAGAAACGCCAAATCCCCACTTCCACAGCACAAATCCAACACACTGTCTCCCTTTTTTGCTCTGTCCCAAAAAGAATTTCTCTTAAAAGAATCGAACTCCAGATAACCAAATATGAAAAAATACCAACCGAACCCAAAAAATATATATATTTGAATTTTACCCACTCCAGGACACTGCCATTCTTTTCCATATTCGATGCTGACCCAAGCTCAGCAAATCATTCAACTAAAAGAAAAGGAGAAAAATATCAAGACCCATTAACTATTTACAAAGAAAAGCGACACTGCAACTTGAAGTAAAATGAGCAAAAGCTTTACGTTATCGTAGACAGGGGCAATGCGGTTGAAGAGCGCCTGGCGCTCGGTCGAGGATCGGACCAGACTGCGTCTGAACCGGGAACTGGGTAGACATGGACCGGTGGAGAGTGGAAGAAGATGAAGCTGAAGCGAAGCCATGTCAGCTATCCGTTTCTCCTCGCTGACACATGTAAAACAGAGATAGAGCCGTTTTGTGAGACTCAGTGATCGGACCAGAGAGTTGCAATCCAGTACATGATGGGCCATTGTTTCTTCTGTAAGCCCAATACAGTGAACAATCTGGGATAGCCCAATAGTGATGCTTGGACTCAAATTTGTGTTCGCAACTTGATGAAGGTAACCTATTATATCAAGTTCCGGTCGGATTTTTTACCCAACATCTTATCAAACTACTAATGGTGTTCAAATTTGCCCACTTTACAAAAAATAAATAATAAAATGATATTCTAAAGGGAAGATCGAAATTGAGTGCAAAGGGACGGCCACACTTCCTTAGCAACTAGTCTAACTCACGCATGCAATGCCCTACTCTTTAACTAGCCTACTTAAATTCATTGAACAGAAAAAATGAAATGATGTCACATCAGTTGGAATACAAGCTGGCGCAGCTAGAATGTACCAGCTCTGTTTGCGAGTATGAGTAATAGCAAAGACTATGTAAGCATTTCATTCATTACCAACGGTGGTAAAATTCCATAGTATAGATGGAAGCAAATTACAATAATTTTTACCCTCTATTGATCTTGGAGAGAATGGGGTAAAGTTAATAAACCAATGTCAATGTCAGTAAAGTCTGCATTTTTCCAGATCATGTACATGAAGGCAGAGCATGCGCAGCACAAAGCACAAAACAAATTTTGCAGGAGATGAAGCATTTGGGAGAATGTACATGCAATGCAAGAGCACCTCAGTCATCTGTGAAAAATGGACCAGCAATATTATCCATCACTGCAAATTGCATGTTCTCAGATGGTCTCCAATGGCGCTTGCGCTGATTGATAAACCAGTTGTTGATTTGCCTCTGATCTAGCCCCGTCGATTCAGCCAGCGCAATCTTGTCAGCCTCCTGGATGAGAGATTCAAGCCAAAGGATTAGCATATATTTTGATTTGTCGAAAATGTATGTTGTGAAAAAAGAGAAGTATAAATTCTTGCACCGTTGGGTATGGCCATTTATAATGAACACTCCACCAATCAAACAACGTTTGCCTTGCTTCTTTTGGTAGCTTTCCTTTCTTCTTCTTCTTGGAGAATTCAAGCTTCAAGGTGCCAATGTGACTGCCAAACCTACGCATGAGCCGGTCCTTGAGATCTCGATCTTCACCCCTTTGTTGAGCTTCCTGCACTTCTATTTCTCCGCCACTGAAATCCTCATCTGATGACGCACCGCCTTCATCTGATCAGCAACATTCCATTGCAAGTGTTCTTCAGAAAGATTGGATATAACATACGTACGTAGCATCATGGGCCAAAATGCTGATTTGATTTTGTGAAAATAATTAAAATTGTCCAGCTTCAACATTGTGTGATTTCTTGTTCTCATATCAAAATTTTCCTGTCATATAACTTGGCAAACTTTGGGAAAGCGCATATAAATTCAAGTTTACCCTGCAACACATGCATATAACTTGGGAACAAGGATTCAAACTTAATAGAAAAGAATAAACTTAAATTAAAAAATTTAAATCCCCAAATTAAGTTAATTGGAAAGGGCTGGACCCACACCAAGAACAAAGCTTTCAAAGGCAACTAGGTCAAGACTCTAGACCATAGAGTAGTATAGGGCATGTGGCTCGAGGAGGAGGGCAGCCATTGTTATCAGACACAGAATGTGTGGTAGTATTTCATTGTCAGCCGGATGGAGACTAGAAGAGAGAGGTGTGTCAGGAACTGAGAGTGGACAAGACGGGTGGGGACGTCAATCAAATCAAAACTGACATACACAGTGGACAGTACACAGCTTCCCAACCCACCATACTATAACCCTCCCTCCCTCTCCCTCCTGACGGAGAAACAACCTACCCTATAAACAAAGGTGGGGGTTTAACGATCCATGCGGTCCCATTTATAAAGGACACGCACCCTACAAAATTAGGTTCCTGTACCATCTAGTGTAAAAATACATCCTAAATTTGCATAATAAGTTAAGAAACCGTGCATTGGATAGGATGGTAGGGGCCAATATGCGTATACATGCATGACTCCTGTCCATTTTATTTTCATAGGGTTTTGCAATAATTAGAGACTCGGTTCTTTCTAGCTCAAATTAACACACAAATTATTAATAATGAAGAAGAAAAGAAGAGAACAATATTGAATTGGGGGGACCCAGTGCGAGAGGCAAAGGTCCAGAGAGTGGAGTGAAGGGGGAGAGAGAGAGAGAGACACGTGTGAAGCAATAAGGAAAGGCCAAGAGACCCCACGGCCCATGGAAATGACACGCACTTAGCACAAGTAGCAGTGCCACAATACCCAGAAGAAGCTCATGAGAGAGAGAGGGAGTCCATAAAAGCTGCTAACAGCGTAAACTACGGGAGTACATGTGAATGAATGAATGAATGAATGACTGAATGTGTAGAGAGGAGAGAAAACTTCGACCACCCGCTCTACCCGGGCTTTTCTTTTCTATTAAAGTTTTCTTCCTTCCATACCAGACCAGTAGTATTTAAAACCCTCTCCCCATTATGCCCCTCATCACCACTTTCACCAAATAAAATATAAAAACTTGGGAAAAGTCTCTCGGCTGTATGATAATCTCAGTTACCGTTCCAACACAAGAATGCGCATCGTCGCTGTGCACGGAAGATAAAAGCCTAGCTATATCTCAAGAAATGTCACGTCCATAATCGCACTGAAATAACAAGCCTATTCTCGTCTCCATGAATTCTGCCTATATAACTTCCCAGATTTTATGTTCTACTTGTAAACTCAACACTTGAAATCCATTACAACTAAGGATTTTATTATATAAAGAGAAATTAAGAAAACAGATATGAAGAGAGGAAAACAAAAAAAATAATAATAAATGAATGCAGATAGTATTGAAAAAGGAGCAAACAAGACTTTACATATGCAGGCAGGCCAACCAGACAGGCACCTAAACCATCCATCCAAGCACGTGAATATATGCTTAAAGAATCTAGTGATACGCAGCAGTGAGAGCACGAGGCCAATTAAGCACACTGGAAAGGCATCATGTACTTTGATACAATATAAAAAAACAACAAAAGGAAGCAACAGCAGGTTTTCACTGATTGAGAGATGCCTAAATGCACAAATCTTTGCCCAAATAAACAATTACATTATCAACAAATCCGATTTGTACTTGTACATCTTGTTTTTGGGTATCTATTAAAATAGATAGGCGCTTAGAAAGGGAAGAAAGTTCACAAGACACAATGCATGATATGGACTCACGTGATTATTAAGATTCCTCTGTGAGCTTTGCTAATTCACTTTTGTTCCTAATGATCATGGCCTAGGGAGGGCCAGACTTGAAGTACACATAGCTTTGATTCTATTCTACTTTCTAATTTCCAAGATAAGTTTGGCTGCGATGCCAGGAACCAGCCAGAGAGCTACTAATTGGACAATTTCCGATGTGCACATATCACCACTCATGCTGTGTTGGAACTCGAGAATCAATAATTTATACAAGCAGCAAATATACCGTCTTCTTTAAATTTAGAGAACCATTTCCTCCATTTAAGGCTAAAACTAATTTGCAAAGGCCCCGCTGGACTCTGTATTGGTTTGGAGTAATTGCTCCTCAAGAAAAGTTATGGGTTTCAAGTCCTAACATTCGTATAGTGTGTGAAAATTTAGTTTGTTATCGCCACTCTCAATAGAAAAGTTCCTCAAAAAAGACTAAAACTAGTTCAAAAACAAACTCTAACCAGAAAGTGCAAGGTGGCATTGCATTTCATTTTTCCAGTAAGAATCAATTCGAAATTTTTTTCCTTTGTTATCCTATTTGTCATGGAAACAAAGAAACTACGACTCTTATCAGCTAGAAGACCAACAAATAAGGGAATGAAAGCATATAATGATGCCAAGTTCCACACAACTTCTCATGAACAAAACTTGTTACATTCCCCAAAAGAATTTTGCTACGAGTCTCCCGACCCACACTGATACATCCATCTGAAAATGTTGGTCTAAATGCACTCATTTTAATGTCAAAATCAGAAATTGCAACATCCATATATACATTGATGTCGGCACACCAAAAGATACATATTTTACTCAAAAATGAGGAACTTGAATGTTATCTATATCATAAATTCTTGTGAGAGAAATAACCGCAAACAAAGGAGGGTGTATAAAAATGTAATGGAATCCTTCAAACTTTATTAACATGCAGACACTAGATCAAATAAACTCCTATTGTGAAGTTGATAATTAGCCTAGATCATTTTATACTTGGAAGTACATGAACATGTGCGGAGAAAGGGAAGGGAAGGAAATGGAAAGGAAAGGAAAGGAAAGGAAAGGAAAAGGAAACTTTTTTCACTCGATGAATAGGGAGTGATAATGAGCATCCGAAGAGTACTAGCAAGCTAGCTCGCTCAGGAGAGCCAATTAATGGCCACTGTATGAAACAATCAAACAACTATTTAAGATGTCATCACCGCAGATCTTTGAACCGTCAAAATCAGAATCTCTGAAACAAAAAAGCAAAGCTTTTACTTTGCAAGCCGGTTCTTCTATGGCGCATTTGGGAAGAAAATGAAAAAGATAAAAATGAGAGAGGAAACAAACACAACAAACAACGAGGTTGGACTTTGACAACACACAGACAAACACATAGAGAGAGAGAGAGAGGGAGAGAGAAGGCAGGAATTTGATAAGATACAACATATAAAGCATTTGCCGATTACAGTTCCGAGGAAGAGCTAGCACTAATAAAGTTTGGAAAATATATATGTGGGTTTTTATAAATTGAAGAAGGAAGAGTCTCTTTCAGTTGTAGATAGAGATACTAGGGTTTTTTTTTTCGGTTGGGTATTTGTTTGTGTCATTATTGGCATACGATCAGAAACTTTCGTTTGTTTCGTGCTTCTCAATTTGTGGGCCGTTCGGGGAGAGAGAGAGAGATAAGTCTCAAGTATTATCACCGAAGGTAGGTAAGCAAGGGTAAGACTAGGAAACCAGTGGCTACAATATTTCGTGCGTTTTATATTCATCGTGCTAACACGAGCCAAATCAAGCTACAACTATGGTGAGAGAGAGAGAGAGAGAGAGAGAGAGAGAGAGAGACTAACCGGAGAGGGTTCTAATGGAGGAGGCGTGAGCAGATGAAGTGCAGAGATTGCTAAGTTGCAGTTCAATCTTGTTCAAGAAAGTGGTTGCTTCATCAAAAGGCCTTGAGAGATCTGATTTGTATTTCACCAACATCTCGCAGTAGGTTTCCTAAATATATAAACAAACCCAGATTAATTAAAGGAGAAAACTTAGCCAAACTTAGCCAGAAAAATAGATCAGTAGCAATCTAACACCAATTAAATTATAAAGTAAGAGAGAGAGAGAGAGAGAGAGAGAGAGAGAGAGAGAGAGAAGGGGGGACCAATAATACCATGAACTCGTCGAGCTCGGGATCGGCTCCTAAATACGTGGAGGACATAGAAGAATTAGAATTACAAGAGCCTCGCTGCTGCTGCTGCTGCTTATAGTTATAAAAGTCGTTTTCTCGGCGGATTTCGTCTAAGAAACTCGCGATTTCCGGAGGCGCCCCTACCTACATAAAAAAAAAAACATTTACAAAAGTTAAATTCATTTGCACCTCCTCACTGTCATCGAAGAAGCTAAGAAGAACACTGTCCGAGGCTGACACTAAAATTTCTTTATTTTGAAACAAACAAAGAAAACTCAGACTACATATTATTTGTTGGTGGGCGTAGGTTCTGAAAAGTTCACCTTCTGGCACTCAATATAAGCTTGAATGAGTCTAGGGTAAGTGGGGTGCGAGGCAATTTTGGCTTTGATGGCGCCAAACACGTCTTCCTCGCGTTGAAATTCCGGCGTGATTGTTGGTGAAGCTGCCTCCGACATGGCCGAGTACAGTACCACGTCGTCCGATCCGAACATCGGGACCCGATGATGATGATGCTCCCCACGGAAGGCTCCGGATGAGACGAGCAGGCTCTGGTAATCCAACGGTAGGATCAGATTTTCCGGGGTCATCAGCGCCCTGTCTTCGTACTCCGCCGTTGATTGAAAACCCTTGTCCCCGTACTCCGCCGTAGATTGCAATCCGTACATTTCCTCCATCCAATTCAAATGGCAGACAAGAAAAGTTTATCTTCTTCTTCTTCTTTCTTCCTTTCTATATGTCTTCTTCTAGTTCTAGCTATAGCTACAGGGGAAAAATAAAATAAAATAAAGGCAGTATATTTGTTTATTTCTATTCATCTTGAAATTTTAACCACAACATTTTTAACTGAGAGAACATTTGCTAGGAAGTGGAGTATCAGAGGGTAACTGGAAGTGTTCTTGGGGAGTGTGCTTGTTGCCCAACTAACAACTATGTGATATATGATTTGATATGATAATAGCTCCTTCCTTTCCCATCTTTTTCCTTTTCTACTGTGTTGTTATTTAAAATATATATATTATTTAGCGTGTGTGTTACTTTCAAGGTGTAAATAATGTTTACGATAATGCTACACTTATCACATTTTTATACCACATGATATAGCATATCTATATTATATATCACATCAATTAAATTAATGAAGTGTATTTTAATTAAGACAATTAGAAAAATAAATACTGAAATAAATCATAAAAGAAAAGAAAATATCAAATAATTTTAATTGATGTAGATATGAATGTCCACCTCACTTGCCACATAAGATAGCATTATGATTTGGTATACAAATATGGCAAAAGTAGCATTATTCTTTCCGTTTAAAGGCACTTCTAGCGATCGTAAGTGTTCTAATTATAAATTTTCATAAGAAAAGTATTTGGGAACACTTTTTAAAGAAGCACACCCCAGAAAGTACTTTTATGATCTAAAAGCACTTCTAGATTTTAGAGTTTAGAGATTATAGTTGTCAAAAAACAATTTTTAAGCCCTTTATAAGCACTCCCAAACGGACAGTTAGATACACCAAAACAAAATTAGAAAGATGCAATGCCTAAATTGACCAAAAAAGGAAAAAAGAAAGAGGCAGGCTCCACGAACGACCAAAGCAGGTTTTAAAATTCCAGCGGAAAAAACATAAAATATAAAAAGCAGCGTATTCTATAACTTGTGTATATAACTCACTGTACATTGATACCTATGATTCTTATGCTGACGACATTACTAATAAATGAAGCTTCGATTCTGCCCCAATTATAGTAATTGATAATTCACATTGTATAACCCTATTAAAGTTTACTGTTGACTTTTCTATATATACCGTTTTACCTTTTATATTTTTACTGGGAGTCAATAATAACTTGCATTATTACAGTTACAGATACAGTTGTAGGTAGATAATGTTGATAATTGATGCAGTCGACAAAGGAAAAATTATTCGATAAAAAGTATGATCTATGTAGTCAAGACGAATTCTAGTGGTGGGCCATGCATACCTACAGGCGGCCACTACACGTGGGACACACTAGCACGTGGAGAGCACACGTTCCTCCCCAATGAGCTCGAGATGCATATGGAACTGGAACCCACCAGCATCTGCATTATTTTAATTTTAATTTTAATTTTGTATATTGTATACGCATGCATGAATATATATATATATATATATATTTATATGTGTGTGTAGTTGACATTTTGGGAGCCAGTTTCAATTGGTTGCTTTATTATGATGGAAATCGAACTTGAAAAGGAAATAAATATGATCAATAGAAAACATGGACGTCGGTGGTGGTAGGCCAATTCATTATGCGGTGCGTTTAGGGTAAACGTCTTCACGACTTTTCCAAACCCCACCCTTTATATTATGAGACGGTGGGGGGTCTGATAATATGGTTGATTACGCAGACAAGACAACCTTAAGCTAATACGCTTAACTGATATTTAAAGTGTTTGATATACACACAAAAAAGAGCTATGACTAGATTGGGACCCGACAGCTTTGACTAGTCAGACAGTAGGCCACAGGATTTTTGGCACCTTTTGAGTTCATGTTATCGACTGATGTGATAAATTCGTGTTGTGAAAACCAATCCACTAGTTTGAGATTAAAAATTTACTAGTCGGCAAATATAAAGGTATATATGGGGGATGATGTAACATCACTTTCAGAATTAGTAGTAAGCCGCCCAAGCTTGACAGGAGAGAAAAATTTACTTATACAGGAGATATCACTGCGGCTTTATTTTCAACTAATCACTCATTATTATGTGTTTTAATATTTTAATATAATAATATAATTTTTTAACATAATAATGTGTGATAGACTTGAGATGCCATAATATATTAACATCCTCGTTATATGTAATTTCTTCTTATCATGGACGAAGCCATGATTGGGACCATAGTGGTCCCAGACCCCCCTCAATCTTTATACACCTTGTATTTATATATTATATATAATTTTATAATATATTGTGTTTTTTTCCCCTACAAATTCATCATAAAACTTCTTAATCACTTTTCTACTCTCTCTTAAATCTTCTAGGTTAGCTTATAATATTTGCACTAAAATTCCTCCTTTTTTTCTCTCTCCTCCTCTTTTGTTTAACTAAAGCTTTGTGAATTTTTTTTCCTACCTTTATACATGTCTGAGTAGGATACCTTAATATTGAGATTTATGAATTTGTTTGTATTTATTCTCAATATTGGAATATAAATTATTAACTTTTGAGTCTTTAATAGTGTAGATGATGAGGTTAAAATATGAAATTAAAGACAATTAAGTAGTTGGCTAAACTGAGTAGTTAATTAAAAATTTTGTGAAGGTTAGTAATCGATTAGTGCTTGAGGTCTCCTATGCAAATTATTTTTTAAAATCTTATGAAGAATTCATTGTAATGTGAAATCTTAACTCCGCTACTACTTCTCATGATAAGGAAAATATTGATGTCCCATATTAAGCAAGCTGGTCAGCTGCAGCTTTTGACAAAAGCATAAGTTGAAAACTGAGTGCTGTCTTGCGTTTTAACTTTCGATAAATAAAAATCCTATATCAACATTTGCAAATCTACTAAATGGAAATGTTTTCTTTTTGACATTCAATTATTTATTCATGTTGGAGGGTGCTCCATGCATTCACTAGTCATCAACAACAACAACACATACAAATAAAAAAGAAATAAAAAGAATATTAAAGCCTAATACGTACCATTAAGACCAAAAAGGTGCAAATTTTGCACAAGAGGGTGAACCAACAAACCAGCAGTTGGCTTTCTTTCTTTTATATATTTCTGATGTTTGATTTGATGGATTGATTGATCGTCTCGGGAAAAAGTTGACAAGATACAGTCCTCTCCCTGTAAAAAAGTTAAAACGTGTTTCAAAGAGAATCCAAATAGTGTGCAGTTCTCACCGTTGGATTGTTCTCGGATTAAACAAACACCGACTTCCAAGGCCAATCAGACGGTTGATATCTTAAGGTAAAACCTACAGTTTGTGAGCAGGAAACGTATCTTTTCTTTACCTCTTTTTTTATTGGGTTGGTAGGTCGAATTATTTACAAATAAAATCGGAAATGCACAAAAACTGGGCGTACCTCTTCAGCATTTTAATGGCTTTGGTGCAGCAGCAGCCCCCCACATGAGCTAGTGTCGGGTCGGAGTTATATCCATCCACCTTGTTGTTCTTGTATTTTTGTAGCCTGGCGAGTGTGCACGTGTGTTTTCTTCTCTGAGCTATATATATATATATATATATATATATAGCTTTCTGAACCTGAGTTTTCACAAAAGGTTTGATCGCATAGGAAATGTGGAGGTGGTCCAAGAATTGCTTTCTTATATAGAGTCAATCAGGTGCCTTGTGTTGTGGCGGACGTAAATTAAAGCATTTGGAATATTAATTAAATATAATTCGTGATTAAGCAATTGAATCTTGTTTGCTCAGCTATCAACGTCAAAAGTAATTTTTCTTGCTACGTATTCACATGAACGACACGTGTTACTAACAAAGCCGTATTTAGTGAAAGGAGTTCCGCATTTGTCATCTGATCACATGCTTAAACAAATATTAAGTTTGCCGTCTCCAAACTTAAAGGGGTTCTGCATCGGCGGAAAGTTGACCAACCATCTTCAAGTCAAATAAAATTCGTGTCGCTTATTCATAGATTCACAGAGACTTTTACTCCTTGACTTTTCAGTCGGACATACCACATGGCCAATGACCAAGTCCCACGTTCTAAAAGGGCTACATCTGAGGAAGCTGTAATTGGGGGACAATAATCGAAGATCAATGATGCTTAAATCCGACCAAATCTTCGTGCTTACTACGTTTAAATGCTTCTTATATTTGATCATTATCATGATCGATCTTCTTTTTACTTTTTTGTACATGTGATATATTTGATAGACTCAGAATATTTATATTATACAATCAAAACTTAGGTCATCGGAGGCTGTAACAGCAGCCATGCAGTTGTTTTTTTTGTAGCCAGGCATGTGTCATTGTCAAAATTAATTGATAATTAGGCTAATCATAATGAAATATCAAATTCATGACGAATATATATCATTAATCACGCTAATCATAATGAAATATCAAACTCATAACAAATATATATATATCATTAATTACAAATATATATCATTAAGCACGCAATGTTAATTCTAGAGTCCAAACACAACAATATGATTCAAATGGAGAAAACCATTGTTATTAATATTAAATGAAATCTCTTTAAGCTCTTTTTTTTCTTCCCCTTTCCCTTTTGAGAATTGTTTAATCGTAATGGATTGAAACTTTTGCGTTGTTATTGGTTTCGGCCAGTCAAAAAGGAATTATTTGCTGTTGGTGGTTGAGGCGAAGGCTGACCTAGGTTGACAAGGATTTCGATTTCTGATTAGTCAAAGATACAGAGGGTTGTTAGGTGTTATGTAGTTCAGGCATATCTTAGCATAGTGTTGATTAATTAAAGCTTTGGTTCTTTGACATTTACTTTTGAGTGCTGTTATTGTCACTTTCTGTTCTATTTCTCTCGTGTTCTTCTTAGCTTCTTACTCACAATTTAAATTTGAAAAAACATAATCATATCTTTCTACTCACTATTATTCCTAAAACACCTTTTAATTTATCTTCACAATTTTGAATTAAAAGGTGGGTGAAATAACAAGAGATCAGCCGAATCTCAAAGGAAACAAATGCTAACAAGGTAGAGAAAAATTAA